TTTTTTTTTTTTGGTCAACTTTTATTGTGACGAAGCGGCACATGAGGGGAGAGAGAGGAAAATTAAAAAAAAAGTACTGGTTTGTTAAAATCGGTGAAAGTTACAGGTGGAGTGCAGTTATAACATCACACTAACATTTAATATAACACATGTCATCAAAACTTTTGTACACACAAGGAGTTTTTTTTTTTTTTTTGACAACTTTCCGCCTTCTATTATACATCACCGCCATCGCGGCCTCTCCCACCTCTTTCGCTCTCAAGTTTGGCAGTTAAACTTTATTTAAAGTCTACCTGACTTTGAACCACACTTAATAACAGCAAAAACGGTTGATAAACATTGCGCTAGGTGGATGTATTTTTATCCACTTTAGTTCTACTGATTAACACCTGAAAACCGTTGCTGAAGACTGAACTGAAAAAAAAACCATATTAAAGCAGCAAAAGACCAAGGAGAAGTTGTATTCTCTGGAATAAAGAGTTAACTTTAGTCAAAATGTTACTATACAACTATAAACTAGTGTTATTAGCTATTAAAAGGTAAAAAAAGGAACCTGGCTTTAGTTAAGCATCTATATTACAGATAACAATAATCAATGGTTGCATTTATAAGCTGATTACATCACTAAACAGGTATAGTCTCGAAAAAGTCAGTTAATTAATAAGCAAGGAAAAGAAAAACGATGATGAATAGAAACAAATTTGTTTCTTGTTCCCCATCCTCTCCTTCGTCTTATTCACTGTAAAACTGATCACCAATAATTCTACGTAGTTTAAATGATATTTTATCACGTCGGTTTGACAGTATAGCTGCCTCACCTTTTATTTCAAAAAAGCCTTTATGATCTAACATTACAACTTCGTATAATTTGGTAGAATTTTTGTGAAATTCAATCAAAAAAAATCTGGACTTATGGTTACTGAATATTGCTTCAGTACAATCTGCCTAAAGTTCTGGTTATGGGTTTTTTGAGCATAGATTTAACTATTATTTTTCTTTTCATTTCTGGAGCTAGTATTACAATTTTGTATAATTTACTGAAGCTGTTGTGAAATTCAATTTTAAACTTTAATATTTGGTTACTGAATGTCGCTGCAGTTTTAAGCTGCTTTAAATAATCGGTTTTATTGAGTAAAACTAATTGACTCTGTGAGGCAATTAAACTAATATCATACATAAACAAATAACTGCTAATCTGATCTGATGCACATAAAGTTTGTGGACCAAATATTAGTCCTAAAAACCTGTTCTGGAACAAAATAATTGACATATTTTATTCTGCTATTGTTGCCATAGTTGTTGCCACCTGTTATAATAATATCAGTTTTTTGTTTTCTTTTTTTTTGGTTTAAATTTTATGTTTTTTAGCGCTTATTGTTATTGTAGTTGTTATTTGTCATAAACATTGTACTTATATATATATATATATATATAT